CTAAAATTTCCAAATTCATTACATAGGTTTGATATTAAGGTTTTATCATGATAGACACCGATTTAACTGCAGTGACACACTACATGCCTTTGTTAAAATTAAATAAAACCACTTCTCATAAAGAACAAGAACATGGTCTTCTTTTTAATGAAATACCAATGGTTACATAGGCTAATTATGCATTCTTTACAGCAACTTGTTTACCATATTCTTCATTCTTTCAAGCAGACATATTTATTTCTATAAATAAATTTAGATTAATCTTTAGGGCTACTAAAGTTTTTCAGTCAAGAGTAGTGCATGATTTTCTGTCTCTCTTTTGTTGCTTGATCAACATCAATGGCTCGGACAATAGCAACTAAATTAGGCTGCTATCCCTTTAAAACGAATGCACAGCTGCAATGAATTCAATGTACTGATACACGTTCTCCCTACTGTTTATGTTCACTTAAGACGTAATTAACTGTGTTTACATGAATACTCATCAAAACGGACAATTTGACATAATTTTGTGTGTAATTCTCCGTTCATGCGATGCGAAAGAGTACTCGCGCTCTGTGAGATGCGCTTTCTGTGTGTATGCTTCAAGTCTGCGCTCAGAAAACCAGACCGAATTGAGTTCTCTCTTGCGTCGTCAGATTTATCCATATGTCTGCTCTTCTCTTACTCCCACATATTGACATTTTTGAAAGTTTTATGCGACGTGCAGCAAGTGTATTTTATCTTATATGTACGCATCTAACCTCCGAACCACGCAGCAGATTTGTTCTGAATGAATCTCTTCCCAAATCGTCCCTCCCTAACATTTTCGTCTCGTTTTTATTCGTTGACGAAAATGTCAATAGATTTACGTCATAGTTTTTGTCATTAAAAAAGAGTTTTAGCTCGTTATAGTCTCGTTGTTGTCGGTGAAAAAAATGTCGTTGACGAAAAAAGTCAACGAAATGAACACTGCTAAGGCAGTTGCCCATGCCATCTCACTCTATTTTGGAACAATGCTAATCTTTTAGCTTTGAGTTTAGAGTGTTCGGAGATTTTTGCATTCAAACCACTGCCAGAAAACAGCATGTTGTAAGTAAGCTGTCGCTTGTGTTGGTTATGGTCAATAGTTCTCATTCTGGATCATCGTGACACTGAATTAAACATAAGCGTCAGTGTTTTGCATGGAAAAGGCACCATGCTCGGGCTAATAAAGCCCACCTGTGTGAGTGCGCCTGTGTCTGCCCTCGCTGAAACCCAAGAGGAGATCTTCATACTCAACATCCTGTGCTCCAATTAAAATTAACTCACACCGCCTCTCCCTCCCTCGCTCCCCCGTGTCTCTGTCATAGTTTCCAGCAGCAATAGGAGGGGGAGGATCGGGGTGACATAAAGTGTTACAGGACCACAGCGATCCACTCAGCCAATGGAATTCTGAGGGATTGCTTCCGCGCTCATTTTTTTTCCTCCTCCTTTTCCTCCTCTGTGGCCTTTTCTTTTTGTTTGACGGTCATTCGGCCCTCCCCCGTGACCCTCCTGAAGAGGCCCCCTGTTCCTCATCTGCTGCGGCCTGGGCTGTTTTCCTGGAGTGTGTGTGTGGGTTGGGGGTAGGGTGGCTTACTGGTAGGTGGGTGGGAGAGGGGCAGTTTTTGGCAGATCCTTTGATCAGTAAAGCATAAACAAGAGGGAGCTTAGAGAAGAGGGGGTGGTGAAGTGCTGAGTCAGTCGCTCTCTTTCTCTCTCTCCTCTTTTTGTTATTCAAAAAAAAAATAAGTAGGAGATTGCAATTTAATGTACTTTTTGACGACCCTAATTATGCATAATTCAATTATATAATGTAAATAAGGTTTATATAAATTTACTTAAATTAAGGAATTACTGAAAATTACAGAATATTTGTCAATATTTTTTATAAAATTTACTTTTTTCATCTATTAACAAGGATGTCAGTAGATTTAGAAACTGACACAAGGAGGTGGTGACACTTATTTATTAGCCAATCAAACATGTTTATCCGTCAATGCCAATAATCTCAAAATAGATTTATTGGTCTATCACTAGTCTGGATGCCCATTGCCCAAACATAAGTTCAGTGCATGCAAATCTTACATTTTCAGTGACAAAACTGGCTTAAATAGGCAAAGAGAGCAGAGCTGGGGGAAAAGAGGAGCAAGTGAATAGCATTTAGGGTTTTGGGTCGTAGCTTGGTCTGAGCTTTTGTCCAGCAGGTGAAAGCTTTGTAAAACTGGCGCCAGATTGTTAAAGAGCCTGACACTTCAGTGTGTTGGAACAGGCAGTGAGAGAAAGAAACCTCCTGGGAGGAGGCCCATGACTGACCCTGTCTGAATGTACAGGCCCTCGCCTGAGAGAGAGCGAGAACGGGAAAGAGAGGGGCCTTTTCCTGTGTTAACTCTACATCTTAATCGAGCAACAAGCCCCGACAAAGCCGTCATTAGAAATGCCTCTACACCGAGTGCTGCAGCCCGTTCTCACTGTAGAATAGATGCAAGTAGTGTTTCACAACCACCTGGTTTGTCCTGAAGTTACATAAATCGGCTTCTTTCAGGAGTGTTTACTTGCAGCAATATTTTGAATTAAAAACCTAATCTGCACTGGCTGTAGTTTCATAGACCTGACAGAACGTGCAACGCCTCCAATCACAGGTCTTTTGAGGGAAAAAAAAAATAAGTAGGAGATTGCAATTTAATGTACTTTTTGACGACCCTAATTATGCATAATTCAATTATATCATGTAAATAAGGTTTATATAAATTTACTTAAATTAAGGAATTACTGAAAATTACAGAATATTTGTCATATTTTTTTTATAAAATTTACTTCTTTTTTCATCTATTGACAAGGATGTCAGTAGATTTAGAAACTGACACAAGGAGGTGGTGACACTTATTTATTAGCCAATCAAACATGTTTATCCGTCAATGCCAATAATCTCAAAATAGATTTATTGGTCTATCACTAGTCAGGATGCCCATTGCCCAAACATAAGTTCAGTGCATGCAAATCTTACATTTTCAGTGACAAAACTGGCTTAAATAGGCAAAGAGAGCAGAGCTGGGGGAAAAGAGGAGCAAGTGAATAGCATTTAGGGTTTTGGGTCGTAGCTTGGTCTGAGCTTTTGTCCAGCAGGTGAAAGCTTTGTAAAACTGGCGCCAGATTGTTAAAGAGTCTGACACTTCAGTGTGTTGGAACAGGCAGTGAGAGAAAGAAACCTCCTGGGAGGAGGCCCATGACTGACCCTGTCTGAATGTACAGGCCCTCGCCTGAGAGAGAGCGAGAATGGGAAAGAGAGGGGCCTTTTCCTGTGTTAACTCTACATCTTAATCGAGCAACAAGCCCCGACAAAGCCGTCATTAGAAATGCCTCTACACCGAGTGCTGCAGCCCGTTCTCACTGTAGAATAGATGCAAGTAGTGTTTCACAACCACCTGGTTTGTCCTGAAGTTACATAAATCGGCTTCTTTCAGGAGTGTTTACTTGCAGCAATATTTTGAATTAAAAACCTAATCTGCACTGGCTGTAGTTTCATAGACCTGACAGAACGTGCAACGCCTCCAATCACAGGTCTTTTGAGCCGCCCTCTCCATCCCTAACACTGCTCGTAAATTGCATGCTTGTGCCTTCAGGACACCAAAACCATTTTCTTGGAAGACTTTATTTGTTTCGAAGAAAATGTGAAGATTAGCAGCTAGTGTTTATATCGTCTTTTAAAATTCTGGCAGTTTAATGCCTACAAAAACGGCTGGTAGGGACTACAACAAGCTACTTCCCGGGTTCGTGACGTGACAAACCCCGCCCCCGGTAAAAGGCAGCAAAGGGGACGAGGCCATTCTGCGCTGCTTTAGAGAAGAGGAAGAGAAAACTAGAGGTGCACGTAAAAATCTGTTCATATATGAATCGCGATTCTGTCTTCTAACGATTCTAATGGATTCACAAGTTTCAAAATCAATGTTCAAAAGCAGCGGTTCTTAATACTGTTCCTCACATCCCCCTGCTCTGCACACACTCTGCATCCCCCCCCCCTCATTCAGCTCAGCTCCGACAATAAACTGTTCCAATTATACACTTATTTTCACATAGCTATGATATGAGAAGCATTAAACATGGACGCGCATGCAGTTGCTGTATTAAAGCTTTAATCGGGATGAAACCGTATATTAAAACAGGTTCTGCACGATCCTCTTCAATAATATCCTCTGCTTCTCAATAGGGCTCAAACTGATAAGCGATATTAACGACACCATTGTTTACAATACAACCGGAGCACATGCCGCTGAGGTGAGGGGCGGGATGTTTTGACGCGCACTAGCCAATTACAACACACTGGGCTAGCTAACCAATCAGAGCCCATCGCCTATTTCTGAGAGAGGGGCTTCATAAAAGCAGGAAATGATCAGCGTATTTCTCGGAGAAGGGACAGAGCAGTGTGGAATAAAGGTAAATTATGTGAAAAATAATGTTTTTTTTTTTTTTAAACGAAGCATTAACACATGTTAGACCGCACCCCATAAACACACGTCTAGAAAAAAACCAGCAAACCACCCCTTTAAGTGTTTTTCTTTAATTGCTAATGTAATCTTTTTACAGCACAGACTGAACAAAATTAAGCATTGCTTGGTAGTGGGTTGACCTAAATTGGTATTATCTAATTGTGTACTTAAATTTAACAGCTGACAGCTATTCATTACATACCTTTCTGTCAAAGTTTTCTGACATTATCGAGATTAATTTGTTCTGTCTGACACAGTTTAACTCCGAGTTCTTGCCATATTTTATTACCATTTTCTAAACTATAGCGAATTATCTGTGATGATGTGAGAAATGTTGAAGGTGTCTGAAAAAAATCTGGTTTGACTGTACATGCATACATACATGTGTATAAAATTGGCAGTTTGTTTTGGTCTTATATGTCAAGCCAAAGAGGCAGCTCATTAGGATTTGGGTCACAGCGACAATATTTCTGTCTAATAGTCCTGCTTATGTATGTCTCTGTCTCCTCATAGCCATAATGACCAGACGACCACCTGGCAGGATCCACGTAAGGCCCTCCTTCAGATGAACCAGGCCGCCCCGGCCAGCCCAGTGCCTGTGCAGCAGCAGAACATCATGAACCCTGCCTCAGGTCAGCAACTCCAAACACTCGTTTCATATTAAACACTACACTCTCAGTCCCAGCATTCTTATGGTAATTCTACGGGTGTAGCAGTCTCTGTTTACATCCCACCCAAACCCGCCTCTACCTCAGCAGACGCCAAAACCTTATCAGACGAATGCAAATGAATGCATGTGAATGGCAGTTGATGATGTCTGGTTGGAGTGACAATAGTGACCTGGGTGTCCAGACTATGAAAGGTTCAACAGGAACTGTTGGAATCAGACAAGACTGGTCTCGTTCAGTGTTTTAAGGTGTTCCCACAGACTTTAATGTCCTTCTTTGCAAAGTCGTTTGGTCCTGGAAACTATGGAGTGCAGCAGTTTCTGCCCACTTTTTTTGAGCGGCCTTGATTCCGGAAGAATGTTTCCTATTCATTTTTTCAATAGGAATTGTTAAATAGTTATAAGCCAGCTACGAGGTGAATCACATTACAAACTTCGAATCAAAGCAAAAACGTTTTGCTTTTCGCGATTTTCCTGTGATTGGTGGAGATTTCTCTCCAAAATTTCATAACCTCATGAAAGTGTTGGATAAAAAGAAATGTGTGGATTATGGCCAAAGGTTTCAAAAAATGATCATTTCACTTAGTAATGGATAATTTTCTGTACACTGGCTGTTCTCTCTCAGGTCCTCTTCCTGATGGTTGGGAGCAAGCTATTACCTCAGAAGGAGAGATCTACTACATCAATCACAAGAACAAAACCACCTCTTGGCTGGACCCACGACTTGACCCGCGTTACGGTGAGCTTAAAATCATAAAAGTTCATGATAATAAAAATAGTATCATTATAAATCATACTTTTCATTAAACATTGGTCTCTTAGCATGACAGCGTCGCCACCATTTTATAAAAGAAATAAGCCACCTGAGTAGTGATGCACTGAAATTTCGACAATTGAAAATGTTCATCGAAATTGCAAAAAAATTCAATTCACGGAAACGGTTAACGCGTCTTCGATTACATGTTTTGAACATCTGTTAAGTGTGGATAAGCTAACAACAATTAAACACGCTTTCATGGTCCAATATGACCAAAATCGTTACTAGAATATGTACAAAATTTTTTTGGCTGAAGTATCGAGAGGCGGCCGCACTTTACTACAACTGGTTTATCACCTATGAACACCCTCAGCTGCATACCGAGTTCAGTTACCCAAATTTAATTACAGAAATGTTATTTTTGGTTTCTGCTTTTGACTCAATGAGAACTTTAATTTTGGTGAATCACTGAATCCGAGTTCCACTGTGGTAAAATAACTGCAACTATCTCTTATTGCTGTATTATTATACTGATTACAAACCGAGTGTAGATGGCTACTCTCTGCGCTGTGTGCGAATGAAAGTGAGTGTGTTTTTGTGCCACACTATTCGGAGAGTATTCCTGCTTCCTGTGACTCATACTGAGGTTAGCCAAAACTGCTCCACACTCAGGACTCTGCAATGTGATTCTTTTACTCACACACAAACTAGCTCAAACTGCATCTGATTATGCCCTTCCCTAAACCCCTTGTTCAGATATGCATCCATAATCCACATAAAGACAATGAAACCTATCTAAGCAGCGGAACTGTCACGTTAATCTAATCATTTGTTTTTTGCTGTGAACATAAATGGTTGACCGAAAGGTTGTCAGACTGAGATGTTTGTCCTTTTTCTACCCCTTTCAGTCCCTCTCTTTAATCTATTTCTATGCTCACAAAGAGATGAAGCCTTCTACTTATGTCACTTTGAGTTACTCACGCTTGAAGTGCTTTCCCTTCATCCCAAAAGAGTTTTAGCCAGAGATACTATCTCACTATCTCCTACATGTATGAACAAGCATGTTCTGCACCATTTTTGACCAAAACCCTCAACTACGAAACAAGTTTCCGTACAGCTAACACACAAGTGGTCGTGGGTAAAGTGGTAAACAGTCTGTGAACGGCTAGGTCAGGCAGGAGAGAGAAAGAACGAAAGACAAAAAGGGAGGGGGGTCGGCGCTGGTGGGTGAAGCCCTTTGAAGATTTATAAGTGTTCAGCGGACAAGGCTGGTGGGCCCCTGAATTACAGACGTAATGTGAGGGGGAGAACTGCAAGGGGGTAGACGTGGTTAACTCGTTCCTTGCCGCAAGTTGAGAATATTTGGGCGTTCCCATGCTGTTTTTATGTAACTGCTTTTGTCTGCATTTTATTATGACCTTTGTGTTTGTGTTTTCATCCCTCAGCTCCTCTCAGTGAGGTCCCACCAACTTCAAAAAACGTGTTAGCGCCTCCTTGCACCAGTTGAACCCAAAAAAAACGATTAAATGTGTTGCTAACCTGACATGTTGTCCCGTCTGGCTCTCCGCTCACCCGCTGGAGACACTTGGGTAATTTGAGCAGGGAGTAGAATGGGATTGTACTCCTTTAACAGAGAACTGAAGTCTGGCCATTCTCTCTTTCTGTCTCACCCCCCCCCTTCCCACCCCGCGTGAGGCCCAGTGCAGGCAGAACTGTTCTCAGCTGCATATCTAGACGGACTTGAGTCGGTGCCAGGCCTCTCGATGCTGCAGCTCTGCTCCTAATCTGTTCCAGACCTTTTCAGTCAAAGAGACCCAATGTTAGAGAGAGAGAGAGAGAGAGAGAGAGGAAGAGGGCAGGCAGAGGCAGGGCCAGAGAGGGGGAAGGGAAGAGGGAAAAGAAAGGGAGGAATAGGAGAAAAAGGAAGAAAGCCCACAGGATAAACTTATGCCTCCTTCCTAAGAGGTGGCAAAAAGGCTGGGAGGTATGGTCTAAGAGTCCACCATGGGACTTTATGATGTATTTCACACTTCATCTGGCCATTAGACTCAAAAACAATCATGCTAACTCCATCTTTTTTGTGGTGTGTAGTTTTTGAGCACAACGGCTGACTGGAACCTTCGGTTATCAGCCATGTGCTGGGATTATCATAGTACTTCATTGCAGGAGTTGGCACCTTGTTGGCAAGTGCAGAGTGATGTCATGCTCTTGTGAAGCACTCATCTTTTCCAGAGCTTTGAGCTGACACACAAACTCAAGAACGGTTGCATAAACACTTCACGACTCCCAAGGCACTCGCCTTACTAGGAAACAGGATGACGAATGTGACATCAGTGGTTCACATTCAAAGGTGACAGAGTTTATCAGTGCATTCATAGTTTGTATTCTGAAGTAAATGTTAGCAGTGCTTCCTCTTGCAGTTCCAATGGTTGTTGCTGGGGTGTTCTGTTTTAGGGCGTTGCTATTTGGGTGCTAGCATGTTTTGGGTGGTTGCTTACTAGCCCAAGTCAAAACAGGCCACTCCCAAGTGCCTATTGGCTACTTTACACCTGGCATTAACATTCATTCGGATAGTATCTGGAATTTTTTATTTTTTTTAACCAGATTACATGTATACCTTTTGCTGCATTTATACTATGTCGTAATTACAAGATGACAACCCGGGACGTTCTACTCGGGCTGTTCACATCCTCAGACTCAGAACTATGCATTTCTATGTAAACGCTATTAACAGCAAAGTTAATTTGTGTAATTTGATTAATCACAATACAAAAGTAACCATCGTTATGCAAATGCATTGTTCATAAACAGTTTATTTAGGGGATCTAAATTCATATTTATTTTACTCTGCTAGATTCAGAACTACGGAGCCCTGCACATGACATGCAGAAAAAAAAGTAAATTGTGCGCACGATTTACTAATTTGTTCCCTCGGTTTTAAGTAAATCGTGCGCGCGAAATAATAATTTGTGCCCTTGTTTTATGCAGCAACAGGTTTATGAGAATGTGGATGGGAAGTAAAATGAATTATTTCGTGCACACAATTTACTTAAAATGAGGGCACATTATTATACCGAGTGCAAAATTTACTTAAAGCGAGAGAACAAATTAGTAAATTGTGTGCACGATTTAGTAAAACGAGGGATAGAATGATTAACATGGAACGATTTTTTTCTGCATGTCAGGTGCGGGGATCCGTATAGAACACTAATGTATGTATTTCATTTATTTTTAGATTATTCTTGCACTATTAAGGTATTAGCAATAGCTAATTATAGGAATTATTTATCAGAACTGCTGAAGCCACTGACATTTTTAGAGTTTCTTCATGACATTGCAGCAGTCACGTGGTACAAGACATCTCAGAAAATTTAGTTTACAAGTTATAATTTTGAATTCTACTGGGAAGTTAATGTGTTTTTTTTGTTTTTTTTTTACAAATCTGAATATTGTAATTATGGTAATTCAGACATGGCGTGAACACCTTTTGTTCAAATGTGTCTCCAGTGTGATCAAAGTTTCAAGTACTTTTTTGGTGAAAGAAACGAGAGTGAAAAGGATTCCAAGTGTAATCTAGTGAAATAATTGGATAAATGATCAGGTATTTGTGGTTAAATAAGGTGAGCATATTGGAAGAACACAGTGTGTGTGTGTGAAAAGAAAAAGCCAAGGACCTACTAGAAAGCACTTTAATGACTCATAACTGCGATACATATTACTTGAGTAGCTTAGTGTGAATAACGGAAACACATTTGCATTTCTCACTGCAGTAATCACTAATAATAACTGTGAAAGTCTCCAAGTCTTGATGTATAAATATACCACCTGCTGTTTCTACTTGTAAGTGATACGGCTTCCATCTTCCTTTCAACTGGTTTCCTACTACACTCTAGTCACAGCTGAGTTTCCTCATGCTGGCTTCCGGCAGCTCACAGCTTGCTTTTGTGTGGCCCGCTGAGGTTTATGTATGATAGGATATAGAGAGGCTTTTCTTCTGGACACAGATTGACTCTCTTTCCCTGTCTCCTCTGCTTTATGTGCTTATCTCTTAAAGGGGTCCTATTATGCTCTTTTACAAAGTCTTGATTTTGTTTTGGGGGTGTACTAGAACAGGCTCATACTAGGTTGTTCGAAAAAAACACATTATTTTTCCACATATTTTACATTACAACACCTCTCTTCCCCAGTCTGGCATGAACGGCTGGAATAGTTCCTGTATCAAACGAAGGCCCGCCTTCTGAAATACGAAATGTGCCGTGATTGTTTACCTGGGCCAGTGTGTGTTGTGATTGGCAGCACTCGGGGCCTGGTCGGGAAATGTCACGCCCCTTACCATAGCCGCCTGCAAGCTTCTGTGTAAATACTGCGTCAAAATCAAATCAATTTGAGTGTGATTTAAACCCGGATGATTGTAACCACTCTAAGTTCGTCTGTCTTGGGAAAGCTAGCGTGTCTCCGACATAGTGATAACACTCGTTGCCTTCTCTAATGCAGCTCAACTAGGTCTCGTCCCATTCGTCGATATTTGTGATATCACAAATCCCGGAAAATATGCGTTGTAGTCCAAACGAGTCGTTCGTTGTAGTGATTTGTGTTAAATAAAGTATCTCCTTTTGAAGTGGACTTTGAGTTTTGTAACTTTGCAGATCTTTTTTATGCTCAAACAGCAACATTACAGACTAACTAAAGTTGAAAAAGTGAAAAAGCATAATATGACCCCTTTAACTGGAAACGCAATTTGAGCGCTGCTTTTATACAATAAACCTGTTAAATAGACAGCCAACAAATATTTACAAAGGCTTCAAAGGTCCTGGCTCTGCGTTTTCTGACGTTTCCCAACACCCCTTCGGTCTCACCTGCAAATGACAGGGGAGCTGCTATTGGCTGGCAGCTTTGCGAGATGGCCTGATAAAGACGTATTACTGGATGGATGTGTTCCAGAGCTATTGTACGTCAATCAGAGCTTTTATCTTTCTTACTCTCTCTTTTTAATTGTGTTCCTCTGGCACGTTTCCTCCTCCTCCTGCTGGCTCGTTGAAGAACACGTCCGTGGCACAAACCTATGCAACACTTGAGTCATTCTGCCAGATGGATAAGACTTGTTTGTGTGTTCTTGTCATCTTCGTGCTGTGGAATGGAGTTTCCCAAGTGAGAAACCCACAGCAGTCAGGGAAATCCAGACCTGAGAATCAAGAGTTTTTTGTTGTGTTCCCGTTCACAGACGCAACAAATCTGGCTGCAAGATATCAGGCTGTATTAACTGGTCACTCCTACCTTGAGATCAGCCATTACTGCTCCACCATTCAGCTTCAATAGACCCCTATCTATGCGAGATAAGAGTCTTTAAAGAGAAACAAACACACACACACATACACACACACACTCCCCCACTAGCACTCGTATACATTCCCACACACTCTTCCACGCCTCAGGCAGTGTGGGGGATGGTGGTTGCGGGGGGGGTGTGTGTGTGTGTGTGAGGCGTGGTGAGTCTCTGATCTGATTCCCATGGTGAGAGGAGAACGGAGACTCATTCAGGCCTGATCGTGCTGTGGAATGGAGTTTCCCAAGTGAGAAACCCACAGCAGTCAGGGAAATCCAGACCTGAGAATCAAGAGTTTTTTGTTGTGTTCCCGTTCACAGACGCAACAAATCTGGCTGCAAGATATCAGGCTGTATTAACTGGTCACTCCTACCTTGAGATCAGCCATTACTGCTCCACCATTCAGCTTCAATAGACCCCTATCTATGCGAGATAAGAGTCTTTAAAGAGAAACAAACGCGCACACACACATACACACACACTAGCACTCGTATACATTCCCACACACTCTTCCACGCCTCAGGCAGTGTGGGGGATGGTGGTTGCGGGGGGGGTGTGTGTGTGTGTGTGAGGCGTGGTGAGTCTCTGATCTGATTCCCATGGTGAGAGGAGAACGGAGACTCATTCAGGCCTGAGGTAGTGTAAACACACTCTGATTGAATGGTGATGAGGATAAGCAGGGAAGACGGGGCTCCCTCGCGCATGACAACGCCAGCTCCATCACAGCTTTGTTGTCACTGGTGGCCTCAGTGCATAAGTAAACAGCCATTTTCATTAGTCCAATTACTGTAACACCCCACCTCCCTGTTGTCCAAAACATTTGTTTCTGTGTTTGCGTCTGTGGCGATACGCATTGATCCATTCGCTTGCATTGATAGGCCTTTTTTTACCCTATATCGTATACATGGCTAATGCTACTACCTCCTTTAGTGACAGATTTTATGAATGGTTATTTTTGACTGGAGATTGAATCTGAGGTGTTTATATAAATTAAAAATGAATTTAAAATTAGAAAATCCATTTTTGGAAATAAATTATCGCGATTAATCGTTTGACAGCACTAATATATATATATATATATATACACACACACACATGTAAATACATAGATGTAAATACACACATATACATACACATTTATAGGTCTAAATATGGAAAATGTAGATGTAAATCTGAATATGTAGTAATTTTCTGAAAGTGATAAATGCCTCACTAAATAAATTCAGACTTGTAAGTGCTTATTTGAATTTATAAATGTATATTCAGATTTCATACATAAACACACACATTATGATTAATGTCCTGGGTTCTGATTAATAATGCGTTTCAGTAGTGCTTATATATACAATATAGTAACACTATAATGCCAAAAATGAAAAGTATTAGGTTTTATTTACATATGTGATACTGTATTTTCTAGTGCTAGTATATTTGCTTTTAAATATAAACTAGATAATATAATTAATGCTAATAAATAATAGAATGAAGCATCATAACGTAATCGATTTTGTGTCCTCAGCTATGAACCAGCAGCGAATTTCCCAGAGTGCTCCAGTGAAGCAAGGCTCCCAGTTGCCCTCCAGTCCACAGAGTGGAGTGCTGGGTGGAAACAACCAGATCAGGCTGCAGCAGATCCAGATGGAGAAAGAGAGACTGAGGATCAAACAAGAGCTCCTTCGCCAGAGACCCCAGGTCAGACACACACACCTGTCAGAACATTCTGTCCTCACATGCTAGATGGGCACATAGTGTTCTGCTGTGTAAACGAGCCTGATCTGTGCCATGTGTACTTGTTGTTCATGTTGTGTATTTTTTTTTAATGTACCGTATCGTATAATTGTGCAGGTTGTTTTGACAGATTATTGGCATAAGGTCTGGTCCACCTTGCACCTCAAAGCAACCTGTTGCACTTTGTTTCTCAGTACATATTGTGTAGGGTGGGTAAATCTGAAGTAGAGATACTTGCTGTGTATGTTTTTGTGAGCTATTAAATGAGAGGTTGGCAGATGGGGAGGTGGAGGAGGTTTTGCTCAGCTGCCCCTGCTTTGGAATGTAAACATGGTGTTGACTCAGTGCTGCAGACCCCCCTGCTGGAAAACTAAATAAACAGAGATCTTCAGGGATGATCTTACCGGTTCTAGCTAGAAGCAGCTCACTTAAAAGACCAATAAAGATAGGCCTTCAAATACACTTAAAGGCATTGATGTAGTGGCTGAAAATCCTATCATGAATCGCTCAGTCATCATAAAATTGCATTCACAGCCTATTGTAATATTATTACATATTTCTACTAAAAACATATTATATATAAAATTATAAAATGTTCTAAAACATATGTAAAACATAATATTGGGCTAAAAACTAAATCAAAAACATTTGCGTGATTCTAAAACTAATTCAAATAAGAATAAAAATTGGCACAAATTCATTTATTTATTTTCTTTCATTTAGTTTTAAATACTGAATGCATTATAGTTAAAAATGTTATAAGCCACCTGCATTGATATCTAATACCCTTATTTTAATGATATCAGTTAACACACTAAATCTGGCAGCTCAAATATGAAAACTAATATTGAAAAAAAAAATTCAATTTGTGTGTTTTGGGGGGTGGGATTTTGAAAAGGGGAAAACATTTTAAATCAAGAGGAGCATTGTTAACTCTGTGTAATTGTTCAATTTTGTTCTTCAATAATATATATATATATATATATATATATATATATATATATAAAAATTTATAAAAAAAATTAATACATGTTTAAATATATTTAAAAAATCTAAAAATAAAATTAAGCATTTTTTTAAAAATATATATAAAATGAGTAATACAAATTTTAAATAACAAAAACTTTGTAAAAATGAATCTACTTGACAATGGCCGTTTGAAGCCACATTTCATTCTCTTAATTAGAAGAAACTTGCTGTATTTTCCTTCACTGTAGCATGTCCTCTGCCCTCTTTATTTGAGCACTTTGTACTGAACTGCCTGCATGCTATTTATAGAGAGACCACCAGCAAAACAACACCTTTTACAATCAAAGGCAGTTCAAAGCAGGCCACTGCGAGTAGTACAAGCAATTACTAGCGGAATGAGCAATAATTGTTCGCAATTATTCTAGATAAATCGACACAAGTTAAGAGGCAATGGCTACAAAATCTGTGGAAATTAGTGAATGAATGTGGGAATGTGTTTTTTTATAGTCATCAAAACTTTGAAATAACACAAATGGGTGTTTAAAACAAGTGATTTAAACAAATCAAAACATACTTCTGTTTTAGCTTATGCAAACTCTCCACAGCTCTTCACTTTCTTTACCATTACTATCATTTTCTCAACCTACTTAATAATATTGTGATTCTAGAAACTGTTACTTAATAAAAAAAGAACATCCATCTGTGCTGGATTTCAGTGCTTTGCACTGTTATATTCTTAGCTTGTTTTGTGTTTGGATTGTGGTCAAAAATAAATCAAGTGTGTGTTGACCTAATGGCACGGTATATTTTGCTTTTTGTAGACATCTTTGTAGTGGATAAATTATTTTTTCTAATAATATTTTTTATTTTATTTATTTAGTCATGTATGTAAAAAAAAATCATGGAAAAAGTATATTTATATTCACTGTATAAAACTGCTCAAAGGTTTGAGGTGTTTTTAAGATTTATAATTTTTTATATATTTTTTAGTTTCTTTTAAACTTTTTGATCCACTTCAAATGTTGACTACTGTGTGTGTGTGTGTGTGTATATATATATATCTTGAACTCTTTTCTGCTGTAGTAGTATTGTATTATAATATGCTGATTTGATGCTCTGTAAACATTTTTATTATTATCAGTGTTGAAAACAGTTGTGCTGCTTAATATTTTTGTGGAAACCATGAATGGTTTTCCCCAGGATTCTTTAATAAATATAAAGTTCACCATTCATTTAAAATACAAATCTTTTGTAACACTTTAAATGTCTTTGAATGCCTCTTTTAAACAATTTAAAGCATTCTCGCTGAATAAAAGTATAAATTTTTTTCCAAATTATCTTGCCTCAAACTTTTGAACAAATAGTGTAAGCGTACAATTTACATATGTGCACAGTTTCGATTTGTCTAAGCAGTTGTGGCCTGGTGTTTTCCTGTGCAGTGGGACATATCACTCCAGAGACGAGAGCACAGACAGTGGCCTGAGCATGAGCAGTTACAGCGTCCCCCGCACTCCTGACGACTTCCTCAACAGCGTGGACGAGATGGAGACAGGTACGCCACAACAAGAGTACTCAATGTAACCACACACATGATGTCAGCACATTTTAAGAGCAACCGTCTCGCTCTCAGGCGATCGCCTCGGCCCCAGCTCGATGGCAACACAGCCCAGCCGCTTCCCCGACTACCTAGACGCGATCCCGGGCACAGACGTGGACCTGGGCACCCTGGAGGGGGAGAGCATGGTGGTGGAGGGCGAGGAGCTGATGCCTAGCCTGCAGGAAGCCCTGAGCTCCGACATCCTCAACGACATGGAGTCAGTGCTGGCAGCTACCAAGATCGACAAGGAGAACTTTCTAACCTGGTTATAGAGCACCTGCATCCAGCACTACGCCTTCTCTTCCAACATGCTGAACTGCTGCCTAATCCAATCTGTGAAGGATGTGTAGATGCTTTGAGTTGAGAAAAGAAAGACATTTCACCCTACTGGACGTTTTTTTCGTTATCTTCTGTTCACTACGTTTGGCCGAATTGGTTTTAAAAGCAGAGGTATTTTAACCTTTGGTCCTTTTGGGCTTCTTTTTGTTTTCTTATGTCTTTTTTCATGTCTGCATCCTCAAGGCTGGCCCATGAACAGACAAGTATCCACAAGTACCCAAATCTCTTTCACGGCTGTACAAGTATGTGATTGTGAGTTTGTGTGCGCGAAGTGTCGTTTCTCCCCTCGCTGGGCGAACAGGGCCAAGAGGGCTCAGAGAGAAATAAAGACAGACGAACCCTGAAATCAACCTAGCGCAACCTCCTGTGACTGCAGCTCCCATCTCAGAACATCCCTGATCTCAGCTCGTTTTTTCCTCGTACAGTAAAGAGCCTGAGAAACCAAAAAGCGATGAAGAAGTCGTCTGTATGTGATGGGATTGTGATTGAAAGGTCTAAATGGTAAGGGTTTTAACGTGTGGCTTTGGTTAAACAAATACTGCTGCTTGGCTGTGCCAGCATATCACACTAGAAACTGTGTAATCAAGTGCCTTCAGACAAAAAAATTGAAACATGTTCCCGTCGTTTTTACGCTAGAGATCATAGATCAAATTTGACGTTTGCTTTGACTTACTCACTTCATTAATCAAAGTATATTTCGTTCAAAGGTTTTATAAAAAATATTATGTTGGGAATTAGGGTTTGATTTTTTTCTTTTTTCTTTAAAGAACCCTAGCCTCTTTGTGTGTTAGTTTTATTTAAGCCTGATTCTGTTTTCTTGAGGGTTATGGCATTCATGTGTGATCAAAGAACAAATCTGATGTTTTATACAGTTTTATACAGAACAACTATTCTAAGAGCTGCCTTATAGTACATGAACTAGATGGACGCTATCATTTATGCTGCATCATAATCAGTCTGAGAGGGGGATCGCTTGGTTTTGTTAAAGATCTCTTTTTTTTTTTTTTTTTTTAGTTTCTCAGTTGATATGTTTTTGCTTACTGGTATATACTTTGGTAGTTACTGTTTAATCAGTTATTTTATGCATTATTAGGAAAATGTTTTCTATTGTACATCATGCAGTCCACACAGTTAGACTAAATCTCATTATTTGGATCACTCTTTCTACCATACATGAAGGAAACAAAATCAACACTTTTCAAACAAATGTAACGTGACCTTTTTATACAAAAATACTATAAACTTTAAAAGAAAAGAAAAAAAGTCTGTAAAAAAGAAAAGAACTGTAACCAAATAATTTTTGCCTCTGATATGTCTTTAAGAAGACTTCTACAGGAGCATATTTTAAATGCCATGTTTAGTCCAAACTCATTAAAATGTCCTGTAGGACTACACTGGACTAGACACACACACACACACACACACACACACACACACAAAAACACGTTTTTTTCTCCAAGTATTGTTCAAGTATTCACAACTGGAAATGTAAAAAAAAAAAAAACAGCATAATCAAACCAGACATTGTCTCATATGCATATTAACCACATTATGGTGAAAACGTTCTCTTCAGATCATGACTAGCTAGTTTTAGCCTGTATTTCCTCATTGGCCCCATTTGTAAATGATGGCATCATGTTCCAAAATTGTCCTATGGTGTGACATATAGCAAAAATTAAGGGAAACAAACCTCTTAATAATCTATAAATAGCATGAGAGAGATTTATCTTCATTGTTAGACGCTTATTTACGTATAGTGTTATTTATTTAATATGAAATTATAATTAACATTATTTTCCCCCATGACAATTTCAGGACAAACTTTGCTGTCATCCATTCAAAACTGCTGAAAATTATACCATTTTAAGATGAGTGATACTTATATCCCCCCTATTACAATACTCAGATAAAAACTAATCTGTGGTTCTTTTATGTGTCACACCATAGGACTTTAGTGTGACATAATGTTTCTATTTAATTTTGCACATGTCAAAGAAGAAAGTTTCATTTTGATACAAACAATATCAACATGTTTTTTAAACAAAACAAAAAATGATTTTCATCAACAAAAGTCAGTCTCTTAGTCAATCAGTATGTTACTGAAACTTTTCTAGCCCCCCCTGCTACATGTGTGCTACATGTGTGGCACAGCTAAATATGATTGCTATTCAAACTATATTCATTAAGATGTGAATGCATTTTTTTAAACTATATGGCTACTCTTTTTAAATCATCATTTTGATTCTATTTACTTTCTGCATCGTTCTCTTAGGATCTCCTCCCTTCTGGTGGATCCCTGTTAATTTTCTGTATATTTCCATGTCCTCCAGTAATTTCTCTCCCTTTCAGTTTCAAAAACAAATTACCACATTTTATACTTATTTTCATGACATTTTATAACAGTACAGTACATAAGTTTTCTGCAAAAACATCAGAAAATAGTTTAATGTAATTATTGCATTTAAGAACACTGGAAATGATCAAAAAAATAATAAAAAGGAGTAAAACAAATCTTATTTAATTATTTAAAACGCTTTTTAAAGAGACCTTGTCCTCTGGTGTGACATCTTTGTCCTGTGGTGTGACATTTTCTGTCACACCAAAGGACTTTTCAGCCTTTTGTGTCAATTAATGACCTTGCTATTCCGAGCTAACCTGTCATTAGCGGTACGCAAGACACATTTGCATAATTTCCATCATTATGTAGTTTAACATGCAGTTTTTAATTAAAAATATAGAATTTAAGGGTGTCACACCAAAGGACAACAAAACGCAACACTTTTGTAGTGGTTCCAAAAAAGTTTAATATTTGAACAATTCTGAGACAGAAATTGACCATATGCACATGTCATGGGCTTCACAGGGGGCTAAAGCAACATAATCATGAATGGGGTCCTTCAACTAATGTAATTTTGTTCTGGAATTGGCCAATTTAGGCTACGTCCACACGAAGCCAGAGCTTTCCCTATCCGATCTTTTTTTCCCCTCGTCTCACGAAATATCTGCGTCCACACGAAACCGACACAAAACTGTAGTATACATGCCAGATTAGTATGTGTTGCTGTAATTCTGCCACAGAGATACACTAAAAACGGAGAAGAAGACCCTAACCCTTATTTTACTTCTTCAATCTTACAAATAGGACTCAAATGTCATAAAAATTATCCCATGCAACTCGTTCCGTATTCCTAGTATTCTTAAGGCATAACGTCGGGTTTGCCGAGAAACAAATCGAAAATGTAATCTTAAGAGAAAATCTCCAGTCATTGCATTCCTGCATTTATACAAGTGTGCGGAATTTCGCGCCGGCGTGCCTAGGAAAAGCACACAAGAGAGTCATTTTGAAACATCAAGACAAATAAAATTATGACTTGAAACAATAATTTCTAATAATGTATCTATTCTGAGGCAGTCAAAACAGCTTAGAATTCACGCAAAGAGCGCTAGGTCTATAGGCCTAATCACTAAAAGCGGTCACTCACTTCAGTTGATTGCGATCTCACGACATTCCGTGAATAAGCTATTACATCATATACGTTGTTATAATGAGAGGACTCGCCAGCTTGCAGAACTCCGGTCCTGACAAAAACTCGCCGTTTTGAGCGGTGAGTGAACATTTGACGCTCTAACACAAATACATACTGGTGGGACAGTGTTGGGGAAAGTTACTTTTTAAAGTAATGCATTATTTCGTTACTCCATAAAAAAGTAACTAATTATGGTACTTAGTTACTTTTTATGGAAAGTAATGTGTTACGTTACTTTTGCGTTACTTTTTAAATCTGCCCTGTTGAAAAAACCAGCATATGCTGGTTAGGTATGTTTTGATGCTGGTTTAAGCTAATCCTTTGCTGGTTTAAGTTGGTCCTTTTGCTGGTTTATGCTGGTCCTTTGCTGGTTTAAGCTGGTCCTTTGCCAGCACATGACCAGCATAAACCAGCAAAGGACCAGCTTAAACCAGCATCAAAACATACCTAACCAGCATATGCTGGGTTTTTCAACAGGGTGGACAGAGCTTGCTTGTTTTTAAAATAAAAAAGTTCTATTTTTGGCAAATATAAAAGCCTTTTCACACCAAAAGTGAAATGAATAAGCCTCAGGCTGAAGGGAAAGTAAATTTACGTCTGTACAGTAGAATGCAGAAGAAGAAATTTCAACACACTTCAGCAATAAAAAAAGACACAAATGTTTGTCTAGAGTAATTTGTGCTTATTATTATGGTTGAACTGGATCATCGAAGGTCAGAAGCAAAGACATTGGTTAATAGAATGGGATTAAATACATAAAGGATATTTGTGTTGTTTAACATTTAATTATTGCAGGTTTGCGCCATATTCTGAGTTGCATTACTTTTATTCATTTTGAGGAATACTGAATCTGTTGTTTTTTGTGTTACCTCACCTATTGGTTAAGTCCGCCCCTGGGTGTGTGTTTACTGTAAAAAGCAGGCGCTCGCCCTGCATATCTAATGTTTCATTATTGTTTTGAAAGTAATGATGTCCAAGCAAGTGATTTGAAACTCATTTTATTTTTGCAAAGCATCACAGTCTGCAGGGGGGAATCGAAATACACTTACAAAAACTTGACAGGAATGATCGGTTGAGACAGAAATCCCATGGCCACGTTTTTGATAAATGATCAATTCAATTGTACTTTCTTTGCAAATGGTGACAGACTGTAAGATTATCAAAACGATGTCAAAAACAAAAATACTTCATTTTTTTTCGAATTTATGGCCACTTAATATAAGCATGGAGTAAAGGAAGAAAGGAAGAAAGAGATGCACGTCTATATCCAACATCAGCGTTTGTGCCTGGCCCTGGTCTAGTGTCCAAAACTTCCACTTTTACAATGCATTTTGTTAAAGCTACTATAACATAATTATGACATTCATACGAGTCATATAAGTTGCTGACTTGCTGTGCACCAAAACCAAATGTTTATTACCGCTTGTGTGAGCTATGAAGGTTTTATCAGTGTTTTTCACCGCAACATGAGTCTCATGCTATGTATTAAGGCAGTAAAAAAAAAAAAAAGACAATTTGGGCATATGTCTGCAGGATGTTCAAAATTGGCACATGGATTTATTTGAAACAAAGAGATTTTACTAAACAGAATTACATACAAACATTAGGCCTTTCTGATTAACGACATGCATGAAAATACTTACATGCCGATTTTCACAAAAAAAAAAAAACAAGACTTCTGGTCACATTTCTGTAATTTACACTAAAATACAGAACCATAGAAAAACTGAGGCCACGGGTTCTACATTACACATCTCATTAGTGAGCTAATCGCTAAAGTGCCAAAGAGAATGAGGGACTGATACCCTACAACACAGTCATATTGAGGCATGAGAATGTAATCGGCTGCTGAAAAGGAGGAATTCATTAGTACAAATACATTAGTACAATACAGTGTGCACAGAACTGCAAAAACGTGAAGAACATTTTCTGTTGTGGTTGGTTGGTTTTGTTTGAAGTAAAATTATTCGGTCTGGGCTCAAATTAGCTGCAGAACTTTGGAATTCAATAATGAACAATCAACATGCAAGTGAATGCTTTTCTTTACTCTGACCTCGGCTGGTGTTCTCACATTTGCCTTACTAGTTACTTCTAGTTGCCAGGGCACAGATGTTGTTTAAGATCATTCCTTGAGTTTGACTGCAGGAAATTAAGGTACAATTTTTACTGATCTCTTCCAGACCAGCATAAAACAAAATGATCTGCATTGATGACAAAAAAACCTTCTACCGCAGCAATGTCTCACTGCATGGAGCCAAACCTCTGGAAGAAAGAGGATCTTTCTTCTGACACTTCTGACTGCTCATCAGGCGAGTCTTACATCTCATCCAAACCATAGTCCTCTTCAGGGAAGTCTCCCACAGTTACTGAGAGGGGCTTCACGAAGACACCATATTTTGGCTCACACTCAAAATAACGTTTCCCATTCACACTAAATCAAGACAAACAAAATGCATCAGTTAGACTTTCTCAGAAGGTTCATGTAAGGGTCACATTAGTCATTTTCAAAGA